GGAAACATTGAGATTTATAGACTTTGCATTGCACAGAGACAGGTTTGTTATAGATTCATTAGATCTATTACAAATAGATCCATGATATTTCCAATGAAAATTACCATTTTCTTTGTATATGAGCGTGCAATATTCAACAATAGAATTGAAGTTTTGCTTTATATCATATTCAGTGGGTATGTCTTCTTTGCCCAGTATTAATCTGGAACTTTTTCCGCTGATATAAATATTCTTATCTATACAACCCTTACTTATTAAATACTCTCTAACAATGCGTCTTGTTGTATTACCTAAATTATCAGTCATGCCAGGTAGGAGGCTTATCTCAAGTTCCCATTCTACCCACGATTCTATAAATTCATATCGCACTTCTTCAAGGCTCTCATTATAGAGATAGTAACGGTAATTTTGGATGGTTTTATTATAAAACAAGGCACAAATTTCCTCGCATAGTTTCGACGTTAATTCTTTGTCTATGTAAATAGAGTAGACATTAATTTGCGTACATTTATCTAAAACTTCTATTCTAATATTTGTCATATAATTTAGTGGTACGCTTTTACATATAATAACACATTTTATCGCGGAGTGTTTACACTAATTACATCCTCCCAAAGTATGAAGGCGAGTATTGGGTATAAATAAATCAGGAAATATTGTCCACTAATCACATACGAATTCAAGAGGTGTGAGTTCCTTAAGAGCTTTGAGTCTTTTAGCTTAATTGTAGGCCATAACGAAGCTATAAAGATGCTCTTTGAGTTACTAATGAGATTAGTAGAGTAATACCCTTGAACTACAACATCTTTTAGCATCCTATTCATACGCTCAACTTGGCCACTTGTCGAGGGATGTCAGATTTTAGTAAGACGATGTTCAATGTCATTTTTGAAAACTCTATCAAATATGCGCTAAAAAGCGTGTTTATGACGTTCTTAATTCTCATAGGGTAATTTTGATTAAATTACGCAAAAACTCAGTAGCTATTGGTTTTATAGCGTTATTATGCAGTTTAACATAAGCAAGTTTAGCTGTAACTTCCCTTCTTCTGTTATAACTTCTGCGATATCAATATGGAAATAACCGATTGGACATAGCTTGAATTTCTTTTTGGCTTTTATCTCTCCTTCAACATCTGACAGTATGCTAATGCCGTGTCTTTGCAAACAATGATGCAAACTAGACCGAGTTAAACAAGGAATTATGGCCCGCAAAGAATAAAGGCAATTGTCCAAAGGAAGAAGTATATGCTTGCGAAAAGTGACAATTATTGCTTCTTCCCCTTGAGTTGACATCTTTGATTTTCCATGTTTTGGGCCAATTGCAGCGTCTATAACAAATGAGCGTTTTTTCCATTTTACAATAGCCTTCGGATTAAGATTATAGTGCTCTGCAAGCTTTGCTATACTCTCTTTACTGTTTTGTATTACTCTACACACCTCCTATATTGTTTTGGCGCACCCATGTAATACTTGTCACATAATAACTCCTTAAACGAGGATAATATATAGTTATATAGTGGGGCTGTATGGTTTAAGGTTGTTCACAAACCATTAATCAAGTATATTTCCCTTTTAGTACAGCCCTACTTATGGCCAAATATATTAAATATTCAGTAGATGTTATAAGTAAATCACATTCTTTCGATAGCTTCCTATCCCTATTGATCCAATCAAAAGTCTTCTACAAGCCCCCCCCCTTGGGCTGCACTTTAAATGTCCTGGGTCTCGTTGGGCTAATAATTCCGGTGGAGTGTCTTGATGCACCCAAAAATCTTCACAGATACCTCTTACAATTTCAATTTTTATTCCATATTCTTTTAAATCTTTTCCTTGATATCCCATGTCAGCGAATATTTTTCTAATTTTATTATATTTTTTTCTTCATGTTATCTAATGCTATTTTTATACTATCTCTGTCGCTCTCATTGGCAGCTCCGACATAGCAAACAAGCACAAATGCTGTGATTATATGCCTCTTTCCACCATTGACTTTCTTGCCTATATCATAACCCTTGCTTTTTTTCTGTCGTTTTATAAATTGGATATCCACTATACAAGCACTTAGTTCCTCTTTCCCTCCCGTTTTGGACCTGTTATACTTAGAGATATCGTAATTCATTTTACGAAAATCCCCTGCTTCTTCCATCTCCTAAATTGCTCATATGCTTTCTTTAATGGCGGAAAGTCGTTCGGCAAATAGCGCCATTGCGCCTATAAGTAATACATAAAATCTCCTAATACTTCTCTTTTGCTATGTTTTAGCGGCCTCCTACTTCTTATGGTACACTCTAAAGGTGTTTCTCTATTAACAACTCTATTTCTCCAGATCCATTGGATACTTTTTTCT